GGACTCCTCTCCAGAAACAGTTTGGCTGTAATTGAACTTTCAATTTAGCATCTTTTTACTTTTCTTTAAGGAAACGCCTCAAAAGTAAGGGCTGAATGAGAATTCAGCCTCTTAAATAAGACTGATTATCTTCAGAAGTCACTTAGTGTCATCCTTTTTTAATTAACATTAGTGAACAACGGCATCTTAAAGACCAAGAAACACACCAGACAGATCAGGGACAAGAGTGTAGAACAGGTGAAAGTGCGTTTTGATCATGAAATAATATTTTTTGGATAAAGTTTAGATTTGGAGCATAACTTTTTGTACAAAGTACTTTAAAGGACAATAGGCTTGGTTTCTGAGAACTTCTAATGCTGTCTACTGGTCATATTTTGAAAAGCTCAGTGAAGTTTTCAGTGACATTTATGCTGCCAACGGGTGGAGCACACCCTCCCTGAGCTCATTAATATTAGTTTATGCAGGTACCAACTGCTCAGTTAAAAGATGTGAGCCTTTCAGGCAGACTCAGCAAAGGTCCATGTTTTAATGACTTTCAGTCCACTATGCAGCAGATCAGCCAACGTTGGGTGAGCGAGATGAAAGTCTGCTCAGGCCTGAAAGAGCTAGAGGCAGCTCCGCTTGTTTCTGGGTGGTGGCTGCTGGTGGCGAGGTGAAGAAATTAGACTGCCTCCAGCATATTTTGGTTGTCTGTGGAGAAAAGAAAGCTAAGAGCCTCCCTACCAATCTCTAATCCAGCCTTAGAGCATCCCTACTACCAGCCGTAGCTTCGTGGCTTTGGTAGTAATTGACTCTGTTTGCCTGTAGAGCTGTCTTTTTCTCTCTCTCAGTGGATTTAAAAACCTGTGGGCCCGGTTCAGAAACCGCCTGCTGACAGTTTAAAAGCTGCCAGCTCCTCTCCCTCCAAGTCTCTCCTTTATTTCCTTCTTCTGGCTGCTTAATTGAACTGGCCTGGCCAATCGGTCTGTTGATGCTGACGGGTGGGAAGAGGAGAAAAAAAAATTCCTTGACATCAGAATTTAATCTTCTTTAATAGTGCAGCATCTAAAATGTGGAGTTGTGAAAAATATTACTCAAACACTTTCTCAGTGCAAAGGTTGTGGATTTTAACGGTTTCAAGGGAATGCACAAGGAGGTTTCTTGTGTTGCTGCCTGGAATTATCCACAGAAGAATGGAAAGAGGAACCACTGAATGATTTTAAAATCTGTTTATCTCAGATTGTGTCACAGGCTGCAGAAATGCTGGATCTGTGTCTTAAGTTTGAGAGGAATTGATACCAATACTTGGAATTGAGTGGCAAAGGGATTCTTGGGTGCAGTGATTGTCTTCATGAACTCGGATCACGTATTTCACGTCTAACCTTTTCCTAGGGAAAGGCCACTTCTGCCGTCTGACACAAGCCTCACATGGACGCATGGATTCAGGATCCCTGGCCATGAGAGACCTTGTTCCATGTGTGGCTGAGAATTTACCCACCGTCCTTAAGCCACCTATCTCTCCTGTTTCCCTCCTTTTTAAAAAGTTTTTGTCATACATGCTGTGCAGAACTCCCTCTTGTCATCCCGAATCTGCGGTGAGCAGATCGTAACATTAAGCGTTTTCTTTGTTTCTGAAGTTCCTGAGCTCGTGCGGAAATATTAACGTGCTTGCGTTATTTCGACTTCAGCGCTTTGAAGCAGTCTGATGATCCGTTTGCTGCCTCTCTCAGGGGACAGCAGCAAGCCTTTTAGAAGCAGCCCTGTGGTTTATTTGCTGTGAAAGGCTCAGCATATTCTTTAAGTAAGCTGGTCCTCCCCTTCGTCCTCCTCCAGAGTCGGATGTGCCTTCTTTGATGCCCTGGAAAGCTTTATATCTAGGCTAAAGAACCGCCTTGGACTGTGTATCCTGAGCAGTGGCAGATTTGCTCTACATGAACATTTGACACAGGGGAGTTGTGCCGTGCTTGTTACATGAAAGCTCGACCTTGCTTTTTGCCTTTCAGTATAACTTGACAGACCTTAACATGCAGTGGTGAGCGATTGATTATAGTTCAACGGGGCTTTTATGTGCCTGGTGTATGAACAGAACAAGAACACCTGCTCTGGCCCGTCCTCCCTGCTCACCGCAGAGGAGATGCTGACGGACTCCGTGGAACAGTAAGACTTCTCTTTTCCACATGTGAATCGTTTACTCATGTGCAGAGAGGAGCAAACACACACACACCCACACACACTTCTGCTGTGACGAATGCATCTCCGCGTCAGAGGAGGTGTTTGTGCTTTTGTCTCTGTAGCAACCACACAAGGTGACTCTGATCCCTGATGGTTTTAGCAGCATGGTCTCCGCTCCGTCCGACACGTGAAAAACAATCCCAACAATCAGAGTTTCATGCTCACCCAGTGGGAGTCCCTCCTCCATTCTAAATTTGTCATTTTCTCCTCTTTCTCCCTTTCATCGTCATCTGTTTGACCTAATCCATCTACCTTTTTTCATCAGAGAGCATGCCACCTCATTTCTCTTCTGCCCCTTTATGTTGTATTCCTGACTCCCAAGCCTTTTCTTTGTGGCGGAAACCTAAAAATTAGTCACTTGTACATTGAATTCAACCAATCATCTGGACCATCAACTACGCATGATCGTTCTCAGTCAAATGGCGGAGTAATATTGCATTCTTTGAACACCAAATATCAAAAGAGCTGGAGAGAAATTGCAGGATCTGCTTTGCAAGGCTGAGTTTGTATATATGTGCATTACTGAAATGCTTGAAATCAAAAAGCATTCCACCAATAATGATACTGTTTATCCTGAGAGGCAGTTGTAAGTTCTGACGTCAAACCTGATGGACATAGAAAAGAAGACACATTTCTCTTCTAGAAACTATCCTAACCTAACGAAAAGGTGCCCACAACTAACACGACATTCTGGGTTAGATAATTTATATAATATTAAGTTATAAATGTTGTAAATAGGCAAATACAACTATTTGAGCTTTCATTTAGCCAGCCACTCACTGAAGGCAGCAAAATCTGGAAAACCAAGTCCAGGAGGAAAGGCAATATTCTCCAAAGCAACACTTTCCAGGTCATTCTAAGGGAGGCGTCCGGATCAGACGCCTGAACAACCTCAGCTCACTCAGAACTGACTTCTTTTTGGTTTCGGTTTGATTGAGGACCAAAGTTGCAACATTTCAGCTGGTGCACTTTATTTTCAAACTACTCTGTGCCAAACAAACCAAACCCTTTGCGTAACCTGTTTACCCCATCGCCTGTGATGGCGCTGCACCAAGAACCACTGAAGGAAATGACACAAAAACTTCTGAAGACACTTTTTCAGAAAATATAAACAAAAATGGAGTGACATCAGATTTCAGCGGTTGTAGGATGTTTCTTTTGTCTTTGGTAAAAGACCACGGCCCATTTTTCCCCACTAACTATAAACTTGAGCGTTTGTTTTGGTTGTATTTACCCAGAATGTCCTGAGCTGTAATTCGCTTCCTGCTTTTTAAGCAGTCTCTGGTCGTCTTGGCATTCACTGTGTATTTGGACCGCATCACTTCAACTGAATCGAGACCTAGGTTTTTACAGAACAATGCTCGTTTCTTTGGACCACTGAAGAGTTCAATTTCACATTCACATCCTCCCTAATAAATCACCTTCTAGGAAAATGAACTAGAGTTTGTTTTAAAATGGATTAAATGTGATTTTCACTCTTAAAATTACAGAGCAATAACTCTACAGGCCTGGAGTTGCAGACCTTTGATTGTTTCAGCGTTTCAGGTCCTAACTGGGAGGTCAGACTAAAAGCAAATGATGGCAGACTTCAGTGATTAACGAACCTTGCCCATATTAGGGGACAAGGAGCGTCCTCCTGAAATGTGACCTAGGACCAAGGCTCAACACCAAGCTCCTGGTAGTCCAACCTTGGCTCCTGTGAATTTCTCTGGTTTACCATAAAAAAAGCAACTAGAAAAATCTGCTTCATGAATCCCTCAATCTACGATGCCAAACATCTCCTGTTTGGCATTGCATCCAAACAGGAGATATGTTTGGATGCAGTGCCGCCCGAGTGGCAGACTACTAGCAAGACATGCTAATTCGTGACTTTTTTCTGAAACTTGAACTTCTGCATCAAGCCATTAGCAGAACGGCTATGTGCAGGGAGAGTGTAAATAAAAATATTTTAATAAAAAAATGTAATTGGTGTTGAAGAACTTGCTTAGAACTCAACAGTAGTAAATAAGTCTTAATTGAATGTTAACGTTATTGTCGTCAAAATGGCATCAGAGCGGTGATGTGCAGAAGTCTGGTTCACGCCTCTCGTTTCTTTTCATTTGCCTTTGAGCAAGACTTTCTTCTTTCTTTAAAGTTGTCTTGATCAAGAGTTGTTTTCATGCTTTCTGAAGCTCCTTTCAACTCTTTTCTTTGAACTTTGACAGCTTTTTCACTCATTTTCAGAGCTTTTACTCTGACCTATGACTCATTCAGACACTTAAAAACTCAAGGGGCATAAATCAGCGCTGAGTCAGCATATTGATAATTAAGCAAAGAACCAGTTTTAAATGGATTCTTTAGGCTGTGTAAAAAGCAAGATAATTTATTTATACGTTTAACTGAACCATCCCCTCTTTCACAAACATGATCACAAAGATGAGACCCCTTTTTAAGGTAGATCTTTTTACTTTTAAGTCACCAATTAAGCCTGATGTCAACGCAGATGTGAGCTTTCAGAAATGAAAACTGCAGGAGGTGTTGAATGAAACTCATCTGGGTCAATATTAGTATAAGGACTGATGATGTCAGTTGGATTGACTGTAGAAGCCTGGCGTTGCACTTACAGAGGAAATACATGAGGGGGAAAATTACATCTGAACATACAGAATTTAAGCTTCGGAAGCTACAGGTTTAGCATGCAGCTTTAGTTTTTTTTACAGCATTTGATCCATTTAAATCCTGGTAAATTCTAGCATTATCTTAGTCCTAAATCCTAGTCTGAACACATTTTTACCCTCTCTCCTCTCCAGGTGCTCTCGCCATCCTGATCCCGGAGTTGGACCTCGTCATCTCGTTGGTCGGTTCGGTCAGCAGCAGCTTCCTGGCTCTCATCTTCCCGCCCATCCTGGAGATCTTAGCCTTTCACACGGAGGGTCTGTCGCCACTGGCGACCATCAAGAACCTGATCATCAGCGTGGTGGGGCTGCTCGGCTTCCTCTTAGGAACTTATATTGCCGTCATAGAAATCCTAGCACGAAATAATGTCAAACACGAAGAGACATTCCACACCTACATGGTGCAGTAGGACAGACTGTTGGGCCTTTCAGGCCAGTTTAAACCATTTTATTTTATGTTTTTATTTGCTGCTGTTGTATACGTATTTTAATGTAATTATGTCACAAATGTGCGAGTGTCACGTTAAATTAATTACAGCCATTAGTTCAGTCCAAAAGTCATTATAAATACCTGAAAGTAGAAGATGACTTCATCAGATTTTTAAGAGATTAAGAGCATTAGAGGTAATTTATCATATTAACAGCCTAAAAATATTTATGTAAATTCTCCAGTCAACACATCAAACTACCTCAATAGTTGTTTTTGGTTTTAACTCCCAGATTCAGAGCTGATTCTGATTGTTTTTCACCTCAACCCAAACATTTTCAAGTTTGCAGCTTTGAGTGGTTTTTAATCACCATCTGACATCTTGACAGGAAGAAAACCTTGATAAAAGAAAAATGCACTTTGATTTATGCCTTATTGAATAAAACTGCACTACTTTGGCATTTTTCGGTGACACATTGAGCAGTTTAAATAAAAAAAATAATGTTTTGAGAACAGATTAAGGGTTATAAACCAAACTTTGCATTATTTGTGCAGTAATTGTGCTTTTTTATCTTCGCTTATCAAATCCATCGATGTATCTCTGGTCAGATGTTTTAAAGATAAATATATTTAGCCAAATTGTGACTAGGGGGATATTTGGAGGATATTTTGCACTCTGTATATATCAATGCAAAATATCCATAAAATGAAGTGACTTGATGCTTACTGACCTAAAAAGATGTAATATTTCCTCCAGTGCAATATTACCGTGTTGAAATGTTGGTGAAAGTAAAGAGAATTTCTTACCGCCGCTATAGTTTAAATTTTATTTAGGTCAAAGATTGAATGGGTGTTTTGGTTCCTTTTATACTTATTTTTTTTTTCTATTTGGGGATTTTAACCATTGAAATGTTCAGCAAAACCATCACATCTTGAGCTTATTCTCGGTTTAAACTCTGAACTATTCAGAAGGTTTTTGGTCCAGGCCACATTCATAGCTGTACTATGATTTTCAGATGTGCAGTTTATGCATCTTAAACAGAGTTATCATTGTTCAACCAGTGTGGCTCCTGTTATTTATCTGGGTTCACATTGTGGGATTATTTGGCATTTTCAGCCAAAATCTAAAAATAAGAAAATCTCTGTTTATCATTAAATGTAAATCATAAAGTAAGCAGTGGTACTTTCTGGGATAACCATGCAACAGACTTCTGATTCTTGTCACCCTGATATGAACTTGTGCTGCCTCCTTTTTCTCCTCCTCTTTTTCTTATTTTCACCATCTAACTCCATCAATATGCACATGAACAGCTGAATCTTGCTTTTTGTATATTGATGGACTAATATATCCGTCTCTTGCAATCATGTTGCAGTAACTATGTTGCCTCCATCTCACTTCAAAGTTTTTTCAGAAATGTTGTTCTCGTTCTTTACGTTTATGGTGAAAGTAAGCTTTTCCAGTCTATTTTTGTGCAAACATCAGTTGCGATGATTTTCTGCACTGCAAATATAATACAAGCTTGAACCTTGTGCCGGCTGTGCTGTGCACCGTTTGCCCCAGTCACATCAGCCTCACTAACTCTCTTTAACTTTGAAATATTACAGGAGATTCATGAGGGGAATCTCCTGTAATGCCTTCTCATTTTCATGAGAAGGCATATTTTCATGCCTTCTCATGAAAATGTATGAGAAGGCAGAAAATGATTTTGAAAATCATCCAATGTTCAAACTTTTCCTGACCAGAGATGACAAACATTTACAATCTACAGGTACAGGTTGTAAACGTTTTTTTCTATAATCTTGACAAGGATTTGATCAGAAGACAGATGAAAAAGCTCAATGCCCTAAAACTGTAGAATAAATCTAGATATTGATTCAAACTGTTTCAGACTTTGGGAAACATGATACTAAATTATGAAGTAGCTCTTCTGTGTCTTAAAGTTTTTTTTGTTCTTTATTTTTTATTATTTTGTTTTAATTTTTTTACTAAGTCTTATTTTTTTTATTATTATTATTATTATTATTATTATTACTTGTACCTAACTTCCACAGGTTGGTTTAACTACAGACAGGCTGTATATCAAATAATAAAAGATAATTTATCTGCAATGTCTAGCAGATAAAATGCAACATGTACTGTAAGTTCACCGAACAGCTTCTGTACTGTTGTGTGTCTTCTGTGTTTATGTGGCAGTATCAACCAGCGAAAACTTTTCAGCTTTTAATAGAACATTTTTGGAAATCAATGTAAAAAATCATGTCCACATGCCTTATGTGTCTAAAGCACTATAACTTTATGTGTATGTGTGTGAATATATTACTTATCTGTTGCATATGTAAATATTTGCTCATTTGCAAAGGAAATGTTTAAAATAAAATACCCATTTATCTTCTACCTGGAAGGACTTTTGTGCTAAACGGGGAGCAGCATTGACAGCGGTGAGGACTTCCCAAGGACTTTTTTTTCTATCTGTAATGTAGAGTATTGTGATAATAATCATTTTTAAATCTCTTCAGCAGAAAATACAAATGTCAGTGAAATAAAAATCTGCATCTTAATGATGAGGTTGAAAAGGACAGATTTTCGTGTCTATCTGCTGTACGGTTTTTAAAAAGATGAAAACATTTTTTTTTTCTTTTAGCACTCTGTACGTTCTTCATCCCTTTCGTGGAATAAACAACCTTGAACACCATAATTTGTCCTCCCTGGTCTCTGAGTTATGCATTTGAGTAATGCAGCACATTACTTATATTTTTCAGTCATAATTTAAAGACTTCGATGCAGATCATAAGTGGTTGAAATGAGAGAATTTGCATCTTAAATTATATATTTATATGAACAATTATTACTCATTTTAATGTTCTGCCTGCAACATAATATAATAAGGCAGGTAAATATATCTTTAGCTGCATAGTATTACAACATACAGCTGAACAAAATTAAACTGGATGGAGATCTAACAGGAATTTATTATCTCCACATGTTCATTTTTAAGGTATTTTATCCATGTCTAAAATTTAAGAAATAAATTTAAAACTGAGTTGAAAGAAAAACAATGAGCAAAATGTATTTAATTGTGTTTCATACTTTCAAGATTTCGATTTTTCTCTCTAAAATTACATGTTAGTTGGTCTTAAAATCAGCTAATAACCCACTCTCTGACAGTTTAATGCTTTTAGCTTAATTTGTTTAATATATTTTTATATATATTGTGGCTACAATGGTATGACGAGCTGTTAATTCTGTTATCACAGATTTTTCATACTAAACTCAGACCTTTATAACCTGTAACTACTATCTTTCCTTTATTCCCATGCATTCATACATAGGAAGGCATCCAGTGTCCAAACCTTTTAACTGACTCTCCTACAAGCTCCAACCTGGAAGATGGAGGAAATACAGTGTCTTGTTCTTTCTTCCATGATGTGCATAAACACTACATGCATGTGTGTGTTTGAACATATCTGAGCTAAAGAGCTTCCTTTTCAGCTCAGCTCTTTCTTCTCCAGAACAGAACAAAATAATGCCCTCACCACCACAGACAAACACCTTTTCACAACTCCACATTGAGATCTTTTCCACAAACTTCAAAAACAGTATCAGTGAGTAGGTGCAGCTCTGACAGAGTTTAACGAACAGCTTAGACTTTGGCAACAAAGGGACCAGATGAAACGGGACTACATTCTCCAATACCTCTCACAAAATACCTCTAAGGACACATCAGGACCACTCTCCACATCCAGTAACAACAAGGGAAAAAAACTCCATGATCTCCTCCAACATGGTAGAGTAAACTTTTCTGGACAGGCTGACAAGTGGGATGCTTTGATAGCTGGAAGTCCCTCTAAAACTCCTTTAATCATGATTTGAACTCCATAGATTCTGCTTATGTTTTTCATTATCATCAAACATTCTGAGAAATACTTTCATTCTATGCTTTTATCTAAAAACATCTCATCATTTCTGCTTCAATCTAAACATTTGACATGTAAACATTAAAACCAAAGGAAATGTTTAAGACTGTTTGTTCCTCATGATCTCACAGTCTTAAACGCAATTTTTCTGTTTGTTATGATGTAAAACACTTTGAAATACCTTCCTGCTGAAATGTGCTATACAAATAAAATTTTATTGATTTTTTTTTTTTTTTTATCACAGAACGCTCCATGTACGATACATGGAGGCACTGGAGTCGAATACTCTCTGTAACATTCGTTTGCTCAGTTTACACATTAGTGTCAACATTAAAACATGTCATGTTTTGCCCATGATGTAGAAAATCGGAGTTATTAAATACTCATTTTCTCATCTCCAGGTCGAAACAGAAACTGACTGGAGAAGTTATTTCAGAGTTGTGGTAAAACAGACGCGTGTGTGACAGAGTCTTGGTGGAAGAAAATGACACCTCTTAATCAGAGCGGTCATGTTGTAACGAGATCTAATGCTGCTGAATAAATGCATGAAGACTCTCTTATTGCTCTGGCAGTTCTGTTACATCTGAGAGGTTAATAGATTCGCTGAAACCTGCAGAGACTTTAATTCCTTCCTTAATTTGTCAGATTGTTCAATTTCTCTTTTCCCATTTATTTTCAGCAGGTCTCCAGTTTGTCTTCCTCAGGTACTCAAAATGTATAGATTATTAAATAAAGTGTCTGGTTTGGATCCTATTTGGTCAATAAATATTTTAATAAAGATGAAAAATATAAAAAAATAAATTACAGCCGCTTTAAGTTGCATTTAAGATTCAGATATAATTCACAAAGTTTGTGAAGTTGCATTATAAACAGTTGTATTATAAACATTGTTTCACTTTGGAACATTTTTATTTGGACTAGAGGCTTTTATTGAACTGTTATTTGACTGTGTTGGCATTACAGCAATCAAATCCCTCTAATACCAGAGTTTTGCATGTTTCCACTGGTATTTTGCTAAAACTTGGTTATAATTCTGTAACAGATCCCAGTCAGGACTCAAATGATTGAACACAATCTGTCAGCTGAGAAACATATTGGATAAAATTGAATGATTTCCAAAACTTGTATTCATCAAATAATCTGTTTCCAACTGCTGTATTATATGTTGTTTTTAATATGATCATATCTGGATATTGTAGAGTTAGATTGTTTTTATGACAGTTAATGACCTTACAGTGGAGAGGTTGTTGTGGAGGCATTTGTGAAAGGAATGAGTTTGTCTCTGTAACTCACATCAGCTAAAACTTCATAAAGCATTTCTCACATCGAGAGTCATCCTAGGCTAGACAATAGAAAATTTGTTACAATATATTAAACTGATGGTGTACTTTTTAAAAACTTGAACTGGATTGTACATTCAAGCCAAATAAACAACAGGTAGGTTCTGATTCTGAGATTTCCGGCTTCCTTGGTTTTCTTTTTGTTTTCATGTTCTTGTTAATTTTCTTAAAAAAAAAAATCCCACAAGAAACCCAAGTGTTCCTCATGACCTAATAATACAATGAGAGGAAAGCCTTTGGGACTAAGAGGAAATAAAAACACATCATATTGTGCTTATAGCCGAACTCAGCATATCATTAACCTGGGGGTAAGCAGTCGCTAATGTGGACCGATGTATTCTGCTAACAGCACAATGCCTGGCAAATGAACTGGTTGACATGGACTGTGTGAATGTTTACATTTATCTTTAAGTTGCTGCATGAATTTGTACATGTGACTTTTGGTCTGGTTTATAATTCTTTTAAGATAATTTATCTGCAAGTTGAACTGTCCCCTTCCCTCAACTGCTGCACCAATATGTCTCCACTCACCTTCTCTTTTTCCTGAAATGACCCAGTTTGTGCTCGTTATCATCCCAGACAAACAAATAATGGGACAAATCGATGGCACGAATTCAACAAACAGCAATTTGTTGTAAAGACACCCTCTTTTTTATGACGACAATGAGATGAAACAGCTTTTTTATACACGTAATGCAGGCTTTTCAAATCCAGTATGTACAATAATTGCACCTCTGCATTGAACCTGAATTACTCGCCCACCACAGATTAGAAACAATTGAATAGGAAAATCACAACAGGATGAGGCCGCTCCGATTGCAATCATCTTTGATGTTAATTCCTCCTACAGAACACAGTTTTATATATACATGTAGTTTGAGTCTGCTGTGCAATTTTACTCAAAATAAATATGTAGATTGAAACCTGCTCATGCAACTCCTACTACAAAATTTCTTCTGAAGCGCTGATGAGGGATATAAAAATAACATCCACAGACAAAAGAAAGTTCATAAAAGAATATGTGGCCAGGCTGTGCAAAGTGTTGTATGCTATAAGAACATTAACAGCTTAATTAGTCTTTTACAATGAAGCCAAGCTAAAAGACAAAAGATGTTGTGGGTCCTTCTTCTTACTGGAAGTCTGCTAAACTCTACATAGAAAAACCAAAAGAGAGTCCACAAGAACAAATTATTTTATAGTATTATTTGTTCATTGTAACGTAGAAATAAGATTATAGAATCTTGTCAAAACAATCTAACTCTAAAATATCAAGATATAAAAGACAAATCTGAGCATTTGCTTCGTTTAATTGCTGAAGATGACATTTGGATTTCAGGATTTTTATTTTTTTATTTTTTTGCAGAACTTAGATTTAATTGCAGAATAGTTTTATAAATCTGACTCAGAAAACTTTTTTTTTTTTTTTTTTTTCCTGCATCAACTAATTGAACATTACATCTAATTACCTTCAACTTCTTATTTGGGTAGGAACACATGGCTCATTATTTGCTCCATCTCTATCACAACAATTTAAACTTTAAACTTGTAAATTATTTTCTACACTGTGAATTTTTAAATGACGCACATATCTTCTTACACATACCCTGCTTTTAATAAATTTTACATTATAGGCCCCAAAACATCTATTCAACAGTGAGTGTTGTCCTGTATTCTAGAGGATTTTAGTTAAAAGTCCAGGCATGAATCTGCTTCCTGCTGTTACTCTGGACTCCTCTGAGAATGTTGTTTTGGACAGAGCTGAAATATTTTGAAGTTGGGGGAGCAGGCAGCTCAGTCGGCGCTGTCTGGAGCATGCAGCCTTTATTGAGAACAGGGAGATAAGGAGAGCTTCCCTGCGGACGTTCGGCTTAAAAGATCCTCGGCTCTTTTTTTCCTCATCTTTAGAAAGCTGTTTTCCATTTCAAAATTCCAAGAGCCAGGATGAGCAGAGCATAATGTGTGTTTTCTGTTTAAGAGGATGATAATTTCCTGCAGACATGGTGGGTGACTCACTTCCCTTCTCTTTAATTGAAAAGCGTCACCCACACTGAGGAAATTTCTGGAATTTTGCAATGTGCAATGAATAACGGTATTTGTCAATTTGCTTGCTGTTACATAAGCTGTTAAGAAGATGCATGCCATTGTTGAAGAAGCAGCGAACTGACATATGTCTCTCTGTGGGTCTTAATGAGAGAGAAAATTCAGATTTTCTCACAACCCACCCATTAGCTGCTGTTCTAATTGCCTCAGTTTCAGACCCTAAGTACAAACAACCAGTGATTAGAAACTCATTTGTGTGTGTGGTACCTGGTATTAAAGGAGAATCTGTTGTTCTTGCCTCACTTCCAGAAGTGCCAGATTTCTTTTCTGGGTCAAAGACCCAAAATGTTTGACTGGAGATACGGAGGGATTAAAGAGGCTCAGAAGGCATTGTTGCATAAAGATCCACTCTTAGGCTCACAACATTAATAATTAGTGATGATGATGTAAATGAGGAAAACCTTCACTGGTGATTTAGGAGGCACCAACTCATGTTGTCATTATTTTAGATGCAGTTGTGAAAGACAAACTCAGTAGCAACATTAACTTGCATAATCAGCATTTTTAAACAAATAAGTAGTTTCCCAACTGACAAGAAGCCAACCTTTGTATGTGTTTCTAAATGTTAGTGTAACATTTAGAAGTTTACCTTCAGGAGCAGATATTATCTTCTTTTTTTTTAATCATCTAAAGTTTAAGGACTTTGTTTTTATACTTTTTGTACATTTACATAAGGTTTTAAAATTGTAACTCAAAGCAGTTGCTCCAACTCAGCTGCTTTGAGTTGGAGCAACCACTTTTTAAAATGTGCTTTATTTGGGCCATATTGTTTTTTTCTGTAGCACCTGCTCCACATTACTTTTTACTTTGATGTTTAACTATGTTTGGTTTAATTATTTTTTATCCAATGCTTGTCTGCTGTTTGTGTGTTGCTATTTATCCACTCAGCTACCTCAGTTTATGCCACTCCACAGGTATTTCACCTTTAGATAATCAGTCTAATCTGTTCCCACTCCAGCAATCATCATCTGAGCAGTTTGGCTCTCTGTTTTCTCTGTGTAGGTTTCAGTTGTCTTTCTTCAGGCAATGATTTATCTTACCTTTTGTTCTCATATTTTGGTTTGCCACAAGTATTCATTACAAAAATACTAAAGACAAAATTAGTAAGAGTCCACTCTATGGTGCATTTTTTAAAAATTCAGCAGACTGTCTTAGAACCAAAAGGCCGGATAAAAACAATTTTATTAGGAATCATCTTGTTGGTTGGAATGATTTTTCTTTCTTTTTTTTTCTGTCAGCATGTGGTAAGTAAATCACTTCCATTTATCTGAAATTCAAATAATCTAAAATAACATTTTAAGAATAAAAGATAGTGTACTTAATATTGCTAGTTTGTAAACAAATATAGTCTAAGATTTAGACTCTAAACTTTATCAGCTACCCAGATGATCCGCAGAAAAAAAATAAGAATGGTTTGATTCAAGTTGTGGAAAGAGTTAGCTTGATTTTTTTCAAAGTTCTTCCCTTTCTGACATTTAAAATCCTTTTTGCTGTCTCGTTATCACCTTTCTTTCTGTATTTCCTGATCTCTTATTTTGTCACATTTCATCCTTGCTACAGCGTTACTGCCCTTAACAGCACTAGTTTCCTTTAACCAAACTTTTCTTCACTTTCCTCCCCCTTCTCTTTATTTTAATGACCGCTGTGTGTTTCATCTCACTCCTCTGGCTGCAGCACTGATCTGCGCAGCATTGCATCAAATGTCTCTGGGAAGCCTGCAGGGAATTGTCCTGTCCTGCAGCATGATGCTTTAGGCGTCTGCAGATATAAGTGTAGAAACTTTATCTGCAGATGTTTTTTTTTTCTTCTTTCTTTTCTAAGCCAAGGATGTGGGATAGTTGGAGGGGCCATTATAAAAATAAATCAAACTTCCTAAGAAGCAAAAATAAAATCTGAGTACAAAATCCAAAGAAGGGGAAACGTAAAGCTAAAAGCAAACAGGGCGGAAACCATGCTAGCACAACTAACTACATCCCTGAGTTTAATTATTAAATAAATCTGATAAACAAATGTAATGAATCAAACCAAGATTACCTTATCTCAAAATACAAAATGTTTGAAAGGGGAAAGTTATAACCAAAATTACTGGATGGTGCTTAAAGAGACCACAATAATTTTGGTCTCCAATCGAATCGAGAATACTTGGAGTACCTGCTCTATTTAATGAGTCCGTAACACTCTTTTGGCGGCACCACATTTGGTTGTGAGTTGAGGATTTTCATTCAGATCTGTAGTCACCTCTCAAAACGCAGGTGGATAAACAAGCTACAAACTGATCAAGTTCTAATATGACAAGCATGGGTTCACCTTCAGAGAGCACCTGGTTTAGAAGCTGATATCATGCACTGAATTATCTTTGTCCAGCTTTTCTGCCATATTACAAATTTTCTCTTGAGATCATTTCCCAGTTCTCAGGTTTTTGCGCTTCAAACACTTATTAGGACGGGAGCATGATGTATGAAAAAAAGCAAAGCAGGGAAAAACTTAAACTATTCCCCTCACCAAAGTTTACATTTTAGAAGTTACAGTTCATTGCATTACATAATTAGCTGCAGTTCAATCAGCAGCCATATGAAGTTCTGCACAGCATGACACTGAGCTGGATTAGACTCTTGATTCTAGTCTCAGGCTGTGAAGTGTAGACTTAAGTGTTTAGTCTCTGAAATGAGTCTGTAGATTTTTTTTATATATATATAATTAAGAACGAACTCAAACACTTGACATAAGATTCATCTGCATGGGTCGACAGAGATTATCATTTGAATTTGCTTTTAAAAGAAAATCTCTGTTTTATTGTCTAGCTGTCAAGTCATTCCTCAGTGCTATCACTGCCCTGTTTTCTCTCCATTCCTCTATTTATCTTTCTCCTCATGTGCCGTCTGAATTCATTTCCTCGCCTCACCCCCTGGTGGAGACGGTGCTTGACTTGCAGTGTTGCTTCTGGCGACAGCTTGGCTGTCAGATCCTGCTGTTAGCGCAACCATCACCTTCAGACTACAGAGGATGGTGTTGGGATGGAGTTTGTACAGGTATGTGTGTGTAACCACGGCGAAAACAGACAGCTGTCAGGTTTCTGTCGACAAAAATCACAGAGTAACACAACATTAGTGATTTCTCTGTCCTCTTCAGTTAGTATTCTGACTCGCAGGAAAAACCCACTGGCTAACAACATGGCCCTGACTCCATTTTTCTCCTTATCTTCACGGAGTTGCGCTATGAAAACAAGCACCACTGCAGACAAAAACATTTTTTTAAATAGAAGTATTCTTCCAATTATGAAGTGCTAAGACGTACAGTGCTGCAAAGCTTGGGGAAAAAAAGGCAACAAGGGAGGCATTCACAGTGAACGTTCATTTATTAAGACATGTTTTCCAGGATTCAGTGGGTTTCTTTTGTCTCATCAACATTACAGACATTCAGAGGAAACATTCTTCATGGCGATGTGCAAAAACAGCGTATGAAAGGAAAACGGTTACATTCTTAGACTGAATACTGATAGCTCCTATTGCAGCTGGCTGGCCTTGGACCACACATACGGACACAGCATTAAATTTTCTTTTTTTTTTTGCTGCTGCTGTTCCAAATACACAAAACGTCAACAAAGCTTGGCTCATTGCATTGTTCTTCAGCACTAACAAGAAAAATACCTCATTAGTTAATGCACATAACTACAGGTAAAAGGCTGATTGTATATATTTGCATCCTCAGTGGACCAATTAAATTTGCAACTACTCTCATTGGACTCCTCCGAAAAGCCAATGCAGATGCCTCATTTACTTTCTGCAGAATGTGAGAATGTTAGATTACCGTTCATGTATCTGCTCCAGGATATATCAACTCAAGGAAAGGTCATTATCAAAGTACTTTACACTTTGATGAGCACTTACTTTAAAGCTATAATGATTCACATTATTGTTATGGTTGAGTTTATTCTATTATGTTTATGTTATACAGTCCAGTTAGAGCAAATTATACCCACTTATCTTAAGCAGAAAACAGAACAATTGGGACAAGCCTTTTAATTTCTAGACGGGATACAATTTTTTGATGTAAATTCGAAACTGAAGTTTTGTGGTCAGTTACTGCAGATCATCATACGCCAAAGAGAACAAAATGGTCTATAATGGACTGTAAGTAAAGAATCATTAGCCCAGTGGTTTCCTGTCTTTCTCTTTTCGATGGCCAGTGTCTTACATGTTTTAAATGTTTTCCTGGTTCAGTAGAGAGGATTCAATCAGCAGGCTGTCAAGTGCTGCACAGCAAAAAGTCCTCAAATAAACAAATGAAACATGTAGGACGGTGCCCTTTGATAACTGACAGTAGGCACCTGTGCTTTAGACTGCAGTGCTTTACAAATCTAATCTTAAATCTAAATCATTCTCATTTAAACCCCTTCACTTCTAGTGACATTAGAACCACAAACTCCACTGTATTTTATTGTAATTTATAAGATACACCAACTTAAAGTAGCACATTATTGTAAAGTAGAAGGAACATAATACACTGTGACAAACCAACACAAAAACAACTTTTAGTTGGTTTACCCTATGAAATTCTAATAAAATCCATTTAAGATTGTGGTTATAATGTGAAAAATAATAATAAATACAGTTTAAAAAAAAACAAAAACATTATCCTCTTCTACATGTGGTGCAATGTTGGATTTTCTATATTTGGGGGGAATTTCTTGACCGATGAGATTTTGGTCTTTTTTATTTTAATTGAAAACTTTTACCCACAGATATCAATACAATACAAGCTCAAAATGTAACACAATTAGACTAACACAGAGCAAGTGAAGGCAACAACAGGCCGAAGAAAGACAATTGTTAGAACTGATAGTGATTGGAAACGGTGATCATGGTGAGCAGAAACATGGCAGAATAAAGATTTTTTATGTTAGTAATGAAGCATGGTAACTTGGACAGATTATTTTAGAGTGAGGGTCCACAGCAGGGTGTTGGCAATCCTCCCAAGCAAGGTTATCCAGTTTCTTTGGAAAGGTGGAAGAAATCAACCAAAAAACAAAGATTTACGGTTAAGCTGATGGATCACCTTGGAATAAGAGAATTCCTATCATTTTGTGAAATGCCTACAGTGTTTTCAAAGATTTGCAGCCTTTGGAAAGGGTGAATTTGATGTTGTGATGCCTGATTTAAATGCCTAATGAGGTCATTCTGGAGTTTTAAAGAGCCTATTTTTTTCACCTCACTGATTTCACTGAGATAGTTTTATGGTCTTTTTTTTCAGTAGTGGTTAGGGAAATGACTTGTTTAGTTTCCACTACTTTTGTGGCTTCAATGAAAGGATATCTATAGCTTCCATTTAGTCTTGGGAAACATAAAGACCACATTTGTTGGTTTCAAATGAATTAAGAAAGACAGAAATGCCCAGAAACGGATAATGAAAACACTCCTTTAAGCACCTCCAGTGCAGCGCTCAGTTAGCACTTTGAATGTTATAGTTCATTATAAATCAATTAGAAAAAATACTGAGCAAATATGGCTTGTTTAGACAAGTTAAAAGATTGTTCACTCTAGACAATGTAGCAGCACACCTTATATGTGGAAAGTTCCATCTTAATGAACCACCAAAAGTCTGACAGAATATCCTTTGGACAGATGAAATGCAAGAAGAGATTTTAGCCACAATTTATCACAATATGTTGGAGAAATCCAAGCACAACCTGGACTCCTTGTGATCATTGTTTCAACCAGAAACTTCTCTGTAAAACAAAGTATTCTAGTCTCAGATTTGAGGCCATCTGTTCGACAGCTGAAGTCATCAACATGGCAGTGGTCTCAAACAGCAGAACATCTACAGAATGGCTGAAAATCTACAACAGAAAGGCTAAAAAAAAGAACCAAAGTCTTGTCATTTCAAAAGTGATTCAGTAAGTTGTTCATTTCCAATTTTGTTCCTTCCCGCTGCAAAACTTCAATCTGTAAACCCAGACATGCTGATGTGGGGAGCAGAGTTTAAACTATACAGCTTCACAAAATTTCAGGTGTAAGTTAATTGTGCATAACACTTGAAGTAAACACCAAGACCCTCATAAAAGACAGTGTGAAATGCTGCCAGTGTTGGTAGGTTGTTGCTCAATTAAACTTCTACAAGAAATAAAGCAAAATACACAGAAACAAAGTCTTAAGCCAAATTAAAGATGTTGAGAGTTTAACATCTGTTGATAAAAGCTTAAAACATCTAAGCTTGTGCCTTAAATAGATCTCAAAACACAAGTCAATTCATTTTAAAGTGATGCTTTGGGCAAAATAAATTACAAATCAACTGACCTAATTTCTTTTCATGCCAGTAACTTGGTGAAATCAAATATTAATTTGGTATTTTGTTTGAAATAATACATACACCTAATTTAAAACACAGTAAATCAGTCACCACTTGTGCAATTGGTATTTAAGATGTGTGCTATGTTTGCTCATCTGGATTGAACTTTTAAATTGTAGGGTAAGTGATTTCACTTTGAGGTTTCACATAAAAACTTAAACTAGGATGGGAGCCAGCAACATTTTGGCACAGACAAAACAAAGTCCCCTTCCAACTGATTGCCCTGTTGCCAATTTAGGTGTCCTTAGTGGACCTTAACTTGGGGAGGAACTGGTCCCAGAGCAGCCGGATGCACACACACAGAAAGGGAACTCATTAAAATGGGAATGAAGCAGTCATCCTTTGGACAGATGAAATGCAAGAAGATATTTTAGCCAGCAACACCCCTTAAAGTCATACATGCAGAACTTACACTTTCTAAGGGTGTTAGAAACACAGTGATGTGGTCAGAATACCTTTCAGAACAATCACGGCTTTATTCCTCATTTTTATCTTTTTTAAAATTTTTATTTAGCATGTTTCACAACCCCCTGCAACAGACTGGCAACCTGTCCAAGGTGACCCCGCCTCTCGCCTGAAACGTTCGCTGGAGATGGACACCAGCACCTCCCGACCCCATTAGGTACTACTGTGTAAGAAAATGGATGGATGGATGGATGCTTCAGAACCATATTTAAGTAAGTATTCTTGCTGCTGGGAGGATCTGATGTCGAACCTGATTACACAAGTGTTTATGCGGAACATAAATTGTTCATTTAAATGAGTGTGGAATTGTTGAAATTTCTGTCTATTGCTTCTGATTGGCAGAAACATAAACTTTTCTGGTCTATTACTTATATATCAGATTATGAAAGTGGTGGACATTGACACTTCTTTGCACTGTAGTTGATCTTGTTCTGAGTAGAAAGAGCCAAATATGCAATCAGTTTATCAGTCTAAGTTCTAATCAAAAATCTAGTTAAAGTCCGGTATACTTGAAATGAATGAGCATAGACAATCTTTTTCTATTTACGAAATTAATAAAAAAAGAAGCTAAAGTACTGTGACTTTCATTAATTCATCTGTCAGACTTAAGTAAAGTCACTGAGCCGCAAAAAACAATAGCAGTAGAATATAAGTCAAAACAATATTGCAACTAACAGGAGTTGATTTTAGAGGCAAATATCTGGTTGCTCTTTCTTTGTTTGCATTGCCATATTAGTTTTCAAGTAAATCTGCACAAAAGGACATGCCATGCTGTGCAAGAAATCTTTTATCAGTGTAATACTTAACATTTAGTTACTACCAAGAGCTCAATAAGTACAGTATACTAAGCTTTGCTATGACGGAGTAATTTTAGACCCATATTCATTCATCAACGTTGTGCTGTAAAAGTGTTTAAACTGTTTTGTTCCAACAGACAAGCATTATGTTTCTGGGAGGCAAATGGGGCCTTTCTGAAATCAGGGTCTGTGAAGTTAAGAGCAATAATTATCTTTCATGTAGTTGACATTTCCTACTGCAGTGAGATTGTAAACACATGGATACAAGAGGTCAACTCCTAGTCTACATCCTTGATCTTGACAATTTAAAACTGAAGCTAAATATTTTGATATCTGTGGGATATTAATACATGTTAGCAAATGCCAGTAACACTCAGCACTTTCGCAAGGGAGAGTAGCTAAGCTTATTTCAGTCAATGTCCATGTTACAATGCTAAAATCATAGCGGTTGAAAGTACCTGCTGCATTAATCGTCTTCATCAGCAGCAACCTGCCAGTCTGCTCTAAGACCATTAAACAGAGGTAAGCTTTTTAATTTTGCAACAGGCTGTTGAAGGTTTAATCACATTAAGGTTGGCAAATTGCTGCGCTTTTCATTATCTCATATGTCTTTGGAAATTTCACTGACAGACTCGCACTCAGATCATCAACCGGACTCTCACAGCTGGGTACCTGTTATGCTGAGGAAACAGCATAACAGGTGTTTTGTTGTAAAGTTTGCTCTTGTAAACAAACTTTACAAAAGCATAGATGGTTTATCTGTTATTATAGTATGTATATTAAAATTTGCAGTTTTATCTGCTTAAATCAGCTATAATGGAGGGACGTCTGACGTCCTCTGTCATTAAACACTCTGAGAATGTATTTGTTTTTCTAAAAAATTTACTGCAAACTGGCATTTGCCAACAGGAGTAAGAGGAACCTTTACCAATAGCTTCATATTTCTGTGCTATCTGGCACAACACCCTTTTGGATGGAGGCATTGGGGAACACACACAAAGGAGTGTTTACAGGGTTACTGAACCCTGACTGATGTGTTGCTTTGAGCGCATTGGTTCTAGCTGTGTTATGAGGGTGATGTGCTGTAAGCTGAGAGATCCAGGTACCTCAGCAAAACAATCTCAGAATCCTCCAATAACAGGGATGGAAGGCAAAAAACACAAAGAGGGACATCCCTTCATCAAAAATGTTCAGGAAATAAGAGTTTCAGCACAAGAACAAAGCTGCAGTTCCAGCCCAGGTTTACAGGACGTCAAGTTTGATGGTCTTCTCTACTCTCAAACTCTGGCGGGACGAACAAGAACTGAATTAAACCATCCAAAAGGTTAGCAGAAACAATTAGGCTGGTAAAAGATCTTACAGTGATGCAGTCAACAGTTGCATGTTCATGAACTTATCAAACATATTTTGTGTCACTGCTAACTATCACACAGTTGGGGTAAAGTGATACGCCGATGACAAAAACTATCCAGATAAAGCTGTAACCGCGCTTTAGCATTGCATATGTGCAAGGTAAATCAATCAGAACCTCAATTTTATTCAGCTAAATTATAAAGCCAACACTGCAGGTAAGACACTATTCTAATATTTGGCTCATATTCAAGAAAACTAGTAAGATTATATTTGCAATATTTCAAGTCAATCAAAAGGCAAATTAATTGGTCAGCTTATTTTGCTTGCTATGTCCCTAAATAAAAATACTAAAATCACAGTCAAAATTGTACAAATTTCTGTGGAATAGCACCTAAACTACCTCTGAGAAAAGGGACAAGCGTTACAACCACTGCAGTCCATACTTTATCCAGTAATCCTGGGTTAGAAAATTGGACATTTGCATAAAGTTCAGCTACTGAAGTGAGCTCTGCTAAATTGCTTAGCTTTTTGGTGCATAGTCCAAAAGTAATTTGTTCATTAGCTTTTTATGTTTTGCAGTAGTAACACGTTGCTTACAAACAACCTCTCTGCGTAATAATTAGTTGGTTAAGATCTGGTCATTTCATGTGTTGTTTGAGAATTGCTGCTCTGCACTTTGAAGCCAGCTGGAATAGTTTGGGTATTTCATACAGAATGACTGTATGCCACCTAAACCAGTGGATATTTTCCACTGGGAAAAGGCCTTGGGTGAAACCCAGAACTCCCAACATGCACCTAAACAACAGGCAGAGTTTGTTTTTCATGCTGAAGTTGATTTTCTTTAGCATGATCACATGAAGACTATATTTCTGTGTTTAAAAGCCAATATTAAAACAGGCACCTGTGTGTTTACTTCACTGTAAAGTAGTGGAAATTGATATCTGAAACAATTCATACCTTGAGTTAAATTAATGAGACACAGCTCTGTTGTTCTGCTTTAAAAAAATATAAAACTGTTTAAAAAGTGCAATTCTTTTTTGAATGTTTTTTTCTGCAAAAGAAAGTTAGTAAATCATTTCAAGTCTTGTTCTTTTCTTTCTCTCTTTCTGCACCCAAAATAATTGTATTTGGAAATCTACACAAATTATAATGAGAAAATTTAATCTTGAATATTTTATGCTTTTTCTTTATTCCTCCCAGAAGCACCTATTTTGCAGTTTATTATTTTTTTTTACCACCTTTTACCATTCAGAAAATCATTCACACCAGCTCACAGTTTCTGAGAAGTTCAGCAGCATGTTCTGTGTTAAAATTAATCACATGGAGGAGGATGGACATAATATTTGGATGGTCCAACATTTAAATGAATTGTGATGCTGGTTAAAATTTGAGCAGCCATTAACTTTCAAAATTCAACAACGAGTAATGACCCCCTTACCACAGGCAGTCATGAGGAGATGAATTACTAAGAGTTACTTTCAATCTCTGGTCTCAGTTTCACTTGCTACATTTTAAAATCTCTGTTTCCCTGAAGGCAGCACTGATAACTCTCAGTATGGCGTCATTTATTTTACCTCTTCTTTGTCCTCCTCTTCACCTAGAGCTGTTTTGCTCTTATACTACATGTTCCTGCTTCTTCCTTTCACAGTGTTGTTTGTATTTGTCCCCTTTTCTTGTAGTCTTTTATTTCTTTTGCTCATGGCTTTTTAATAATCGTTTCTTGGATGTTAAAAAAACACTTCTAGCTCTGGGCATTTTATCTCAGCAGTGAAACTTGAAGATAATCAGGACGATCCTCTTGTACTCCTTCCTGAAGTTGTGGTTCAGGACGCCGTAGATGACGGCGTTGAGGCAGCTGTTGAAGTACGCCATGAAGTAGCTGGCTGTGAACAGCCACTCTGGGATGGCTCGGCTCAGCCTGGAGTCCAGCGCCACCACCAGGCCAATCAGGTTCAGCGGCGCCCAGCACACGGCGAATAGCACGAACACCACGAACATGGTGAGAAAGTTGCGAAGGTCGTGCGGTTTGATTTTGGGCCGTGAGTCCGGCTTTACCCTCCGTCTGACCTGGATCACCAGAATCCAGATGCGCAGGTAGCAATAGGTGACGATGCTCATGGGCAGAATGAAGTGCACCACCACCACTGTGATGGTGTAGAGCGAACTAACCGACTGCGCGAAGGTGCAGGAGTACACCCGCGGGTCGTACTGCAGCGACTCCACAAACCAATTGGGCACGATGGCTAGGATTGTGAGCGTCCAGACAAGCATAACGTAGCACATAGTGTTGCTGCTGGAGAAAACTTTGTCGTACTTGAGGTTGTGGCAGATGTAGCAGTATCGATTGATTGCGATGCCGGTTATGTTGAAGATGGAGCCGATGACACTGAGGCCCATGAGGAAGCCGCTGATCTGACAGTGGATGTAACCTGCAATCCAGCCATTATGGAAGATGGCTGTCAGGACCAGTGGGTACGGATAGATGGCCACCACCAAGTCAGCAAAGGCCAGGCTAACCACAAAGGCATTTCCTACAGAAAAAACAGAAAGTGAGGAAAAGACACAAGTTTAATAGAACAAATGATTTATACAGCTGTGCTGTGTTTAAATTCATCTCCTGTTTCATCTCAGTCTTCAAAAAGCCAGATTTCTACAATTTTCTATGTTCAAGGAGCTTTCAAAGTTTTTGGTTTGCTTTATAACTTATTTTGATTAATTATCTAACAGTTGTCAGGCACATCGTTTTTGGTTAAGTCTTAACTATGACCTCAGTTTTTATTTATTTTTAACCAGTTCCTTAATTACATAAATTATTTGTAATAGGTGGAGTTTAATTTTGTAATTTAAAAAACACACATGTTCTGTTTAAATAAATCAACTCAAAGTCAGCAGTTGCAGTGCGTTTGTGCTTGTTTCTTTATTTAAATTCGTGCCAAGAAACAGAAGCAGCTCCCATTGAAGTTCGTTGAGCAGATTGATTTCCAGATATGGCAACAACACAAAAGAAAAATATTACCTTTCAAGCCTCTGCAGGCAGATTTTTGGAGGTGAAAGGATTAAAAGACTTCTTTCATTTTATCATTCTCTAAGACAGCTGGCAGCCTTTTCATCTGTATTGATTTTGCAGAAACAAATATTTACATGTTCCCAGATTCATGTGGGGAACTGAATGTTGTGGTAAATTAAACAATAAAAAACCAAGTTTTAAGATACTTGTTCAACAAAGAAGAAATACATGTGATTACATTTTATTGGGACCTAGAGGAAACTGGTGTCAAAATGATGTGAGGTCATCCCATTTGTCCCATGCTACAGATTCTAGCTTAGCAGTAAAAGAGGAGAACGGCCTGCAGAATTGTCCAACAATGGAACCAGTGATATGGGACAGCACTCAAACACATCATGTCATCATGTAAAGAGGATGCTCCACAGACTAGTCAACTGATTGACACATTCCTTCCACCTTCCAACCTTTTGGTGATAAGATATGAATCATGACTGAAAAATTAGAAAAAACTGTTAAAGTGAGCAGATCCATTGAGCAGAAAGGACTCGGGTGAGGTTCATTGATTAAGATGTCGTCTTTTAGACAATTTCCAAGACTCGGTTTAATGGAAAGGTTATTTATCTTCCCTGTCCTGAAAGGTCTTAGAATTCCTCTTGAGAATCTGAGGAGTTTCTAAGCAGATGCATGTTTTGGGTTTCCCTCATGTTGTTGCCTGATAAGCGGAGGACATGTAACACACTTACAGGCCAAGTTTCATGGCTCCATGCAGCATTTATGAAACAGCATTCATTGGCCAGTCACAGTGTGCACTTTGGGAATTGTTCACAACAGTTATTTACATGACACTCCTACATTTATTCATTACTTCAGTGGCTTCAGCTGCAGAATATGCGGCACGAGTAGACAGAATGTGGCAAAAAACAAGAATGTTCTCCCACATAAAACTTTATAGTCTTTCAACGCAGACTTTAAAGGAGCGCTAAAAGACAAATCAAAACTTGGAATGTAGTTCATCACATAAAGTCCATGGTAATGTTGTATTTTATAAGTTTATTATAATGGGATAGTTCCCATAATTAAATAGTCACATCTGGGACGTTTGATCCAGAAAAACCCTCCCTTGTTTGGGGGGACAAAGAAATTATTTACCAAACCCATTGCAGAAATGTATTAATTAAACCGATGAATGCTTTACATTGATTAGGTGGATAGATGAATGGATCTGTGGAAAATATAACTTGAATGACAATGCATTTACAGAATAAACTGGTTGTATTAGAGCATGTGAGTAAGCACTGTATGTTTGAGGTGTCCACATGTACCCTACTTTAATAAACTGAGCTTTTCAGCTGCAATAATACAAAGGAAGGAACGATTTGAATGCAGAGCACTTCACTTGGGGCAGCAGGTAAATGTTAAACCCATAATTCAGGCATTCAAAGACTGTCTCTCCTATGTGTGAGCGAGACCTCCATAGCACATCAGGTGAGCTGTTTTTTATTAAACATACTGTATTTGCCTAAGCAAGCAGCTGAAAATTGGAATAAAATTGAAACCACCTGCGACTGTGGCTGGTAGAGCTGTGTTTACATCTCCCCCAGGGAGCAACAGCACATTACATTCATTTTTGGTGAAGTCAGCTTGAGCTGCCTGAAGTGGTTAGAGCGCTCACTGCTACACTGAAGATAGTTGTTACAGTTCTATTCATTATTTCTGACTCTTGATGGCACAAGTAAAGTGCACTGAGGAACTTTGAAGAGATTAATGATGGAGAGAAGCTGGAGATCTTTTATTAAGTTATTTTCTTGCTTACTACTTTTTTTTCCGGTATGCATCTTGTTTTAAAAATACAAGATTTTGCTTGTTTGAATTTAAAATATACTGGAACAAATGTGCAACCCAATCTTACTAAATAACAAAGCTTCACATTGTGAAAAAGTTGCATAGAATGTGTGGAGATCATGGCTCTACAACAAGTTTGTCTTCCATTATCTTGGTTTCCAGTGTGCTGCATCCTTCGCTACCTCTGTGGAAGGGTTAGAGACTTCAGATGCAGCTCATTCAGCAGCCTGTCGCTTCGTCTGGCGACTGTTTCAAATCGCACTCTGTTAGATCAACAGAGAGGGCATCCAAAATCTTGTTTTGTTACCATGTTTCAGACTCGGTGGAAAATGTTTTTTTTTTTCCTTTTCTATACAGCATAAAGGCATTTTACTAAACAGAAATCCCTGCGTACATTCCAGAAGCAACCGAATCAAGCAACACAGAGAAAAACAAACTTTCAAGAATAAAAGGAAAACCTTATCAAAGAAGCAAACACCACACAAATACCTCAGAGTTGCTGCAGAAGACATGAAGTTACTGAAAGCCCCCAAAGAAGTGGAAAGGAAATGCATATGTACAAATTTAAGGCTAATATGAACATATATATTTACTAGGACATCAAAAAAAATTGAATATTTCCAAAAAGTGCAATATTTCTTGCCAGACATCTCAGAAAGTGAAATGGCCATTTTGCAGAGGCGATCACCCTGTGGCACTGCGTAGATGTAATGGAAGCCCAGATTGCTTTGATAAATGCCTTCAGGTCATCTGCCGTTTGGTGTCTGGTGTCTTTCATCTTCCTCTGGACAACAGATTTTCTTTGGGGTTCAGGTCAGGGGAGTTTGCTGGCCAATCACAAACAGGAACACCATGCATGGTCATTGAACCAGCTTTTGGTATCTTTGGCAGTGTGGGCAGGTGGCAAGTCCTGCTGGAAAATAAAATCTGCATAGCCGTACAGCTAGTCAACAGAGGGAAGAAGGAAGAAGGAAGCAGGAAGCGATGCAGAATTTGCTGGTGTTTCAGAAAACACAGTGAACCAACATCAGCAGGTGACAAGGCACCCCAATTCATCACTGACCATCGAAACTTAACTCTGGACTTGGATTGTGTGCCTCTTTATTTTCCTTCCATACATTAGCACCATGATTTTCAAATGAAATGCAGAATTTATTCTGAAAACAGAACTCTGGATCATTGTGTAGCAGTGTAGTTCCTATAAGCCATAGCCCAGGTAAAAGCCCTTTGACATTGTCTCTGGTTTAGGAGTACATTGACATGGAGAATACAACATTTGCAGCCTGTGTCAACTGTTCATGGAATGGATTTTAATTGACGATTCTCTGAAGGCTGCTGCTCAGGAAACCTTTGCAGGGGTTTTGAGTCAATTAGCTGATTAGGGAGTAACACCACAAGTTTCCAATAATTACCTTTTTTATCACAGTATTCTAATTTTCCGAGACACTTCATTTTTGGTTTTCATTATCTGTAAAGCATTAACATCAAAATTACAACAAACAAAAACTTGAAATATATCAGTCCATGTGAATATAATATGAGATTCAGTTTCTGAGATGACTGGCAAAAAATATTGTACTTTTACACAATATTCCAATTTTTTTAGATGTACTTGCATATGTCTAGTTGTGCATTTGTGGCCAGTCTGCAAGGAATGTCCAGGGAACTTTTTCTTCTCAGTCCTTGTGGAAATCTACAGCCTTTTTTGGCATCAATTTCCAAGTATTTCTAAGATATTCTTACATGCACTCTACATACTCCATGTTTTTACAGTTTTTGAGATGTTTCTTAATAAAATGGCATAATTCAAAAATTTTCTTCCTCTAAGTTGCATCTTCTGGTCGCTAACTGTTCTTGTAAAACTTTGGATTTTAGACCCCAAGTAAACCTCTAAATGTGACCGGACTGACTAAGTCTAATTACGCGCTGTGACTAAATAGTGAAGATAAGCTGTTGCTGAGCTGAAACGCCTCAGTGTGTGTAAGGAGCGTCTCACCTCTCAGCTGTTTCTGTAATAAATATGTTGTAGTGGAAGCTTTTATCAGAGCACACAGAGGGGTGTGGCCATTAACCTTGGCGGCCTTAATAAGACCTTGTTAAACCTAAATTCAGTGTTTATCACCCCATGACTCCATCTTCATTGTGAGGAGTCCTCGCTGTTAATATTCCGGATGATACTTTGTCTGCTGCAAATCACAAGTTTCGAGCAAAGAGCTGTGGCAAACAGAACAGAGACAGGGGACTTGTTAACTGCCAGTCAATTTGTATTAGTTGGCGGTTCTGTCTTTATTACCGCCATTGCCCTTGGCAGAAAAGATCCCATCCTCTGGTGTTTGCGAAACGTAAATGTTAATAGGACAGAAATAAAATGGTGACATCGTTAACGGTTCAAATCCCTGAGTAGTTGGGATTCATTAGAGATGTTCTTGCTGTAAATACTTGAGACGAGATGCATTTAATGGAAAGGCCATTGCTTTGCTGTTAGCCTCTAGGAACATTAAGATAATTAATGGATTAGGTTTTTTCTATGACAGAATCATCTCTATCTATCTGTCTGTTTCTCTTCAAAAATCAAATATTTCATCAAGTCAGCATCTATCAACTGCAACTATGCAGAATAAAAGGGCCTTTTAAACAAAAGTTTTCTTTTCTCTGAAGCAGCCAAAGTCATAAGAAACCACA